CCCCGAAGGCCTAGCTACTCGTATATACAGGACGCCGTCGAAGACAGTACCTAGAAGATCACAATGCATCGACTAAATAACAACTAAACAACTTCTGAAGGCGTGTGATACACAGAACAAAGTAGAACTACGAATATACGAGCAATCAGGTATTCGGAAGGAACATAACAAAGCAAGAATACTAAACAAGTTATCCGCAGCGGCGAACACGCCGCTGCCATCGCACGAGTGCCACTACGCCCACAGGCGCGTGACGATTAGGCACGCGCGGCGTCGATCCGACATGGCGCCGATCCGTGACGTCGGCTACGACCACGCCTGATCGCCCGACACGTCGGCGCTCAGCGGCGCCCAGTGGGCGCCGTGTCGGCGTCGATTTCCAACACTCCCCCGCAGGCTGGTCGGAGCCCAAGTAGCTCGGCCAGGTGCTTGATCCTGAGGGTGACGAGCGGTTTCGTGAAGACGTCGGCGACCATGTCGTTGGTAGGGCAGTAGATAAGCTCGATAGTGAACTCGGCGACTTGGAATCGGATGAAGTGGTAGCGGATATCGATATGCTTGGTGCGGGCGTGATAGTTTTCGGATTTCGCAATGGCGAGCGTGGCCTGGTTGTCGCAGAACAGGGTTGTCGGCGACGAGATGGGAGTGAATACTTCGGAAATGAAGCGACGAAGCCAGAGCGCTTCCTTGGCGGCGTGAGTGGCGGCGACATATTCCGCCTCGGCAGTCGAGAGCGTTACGAGCTCCTGCTTGCGGGCGCTCCAAGACACGGCGCCGCCGTGCACGAAGAAAACGTAGCCTGATACGGCCCGTCGGTGCTCCTGCGACGCGCCGTCCGCGTCAGTATAACCATGTAGGACCTGCTCACCGCCGCCCAGCACCAGCGCCATATCCCTCGTAGCTCCCAAATACTTTAGCACCCTCTTCGCCGCCTCCCAATGCTTCCGCCCAGGCTTCTCCAGGTACTGGGCGAGTACTGAGACAGCGAACGAAATATCCGGCCTCGTGCCGGTGGCTGCGTAGTTGAGGGCGCCCACAAGTTCGCGATAGGGGACGCCAGACATGTCGGCGACATCCTGGGCGCTTGTGGCGCAATCCTCGCGGCTGAGCTGAGCGTGCGGGTCCATCGGCGTAGAGACCGGCTTCGCGTCGACAATGTTGAAGCGGGCGAGGAGCGACTCAATGTACGAGCGCTGTGAGAGGGCAACGGTACGCTTGTCAAAGTCGCGAGTGACGCCGATGCCCAGCAAGAAATGAATGGGGCCAAGTCGGGTGAGCGAATAGCGCTGGCCAATCCGAGTGATGAAATCATCAAGTAGGCGCTGAGAGGAGCCGGTCATTGCGCAGTCGTCTACATGGATCCCGATGGCGGCATGCAAGTCGCCCTTCTTCAGATAGAAGACGCCCGGGTCGGTCTCGGCGCGCGTGAAGCCTAAGTCAGTAAGGGCGCCCTTGAGCGCCTCGTACCAAGCTCTTCCACCCTGCTTGAGGCCGTAGAGCGCCTTGTGAAGCTTCGCTACTACGTCGGGACCGCCCTCTTCGTACCCAGGAGGCTGTGACATGTAGATCTCCTCGGACGGGTCGAGCTTGCCGTTCAGGAACGCGCTGTTGAAGTCGAAAACCTCGACGGGCCAGCCATTCGTCGCGGCGATCGAGAGAATGGTCCGGATACTCGAGATCTTGGCAACCGGCGCATATGTCTCGGTGTAGTCAACGCCGTAGACTTGCGTGAATCCTCGAGCTACGAGGCGCGCCTTGTGCTTCTCGATCTTGCCATCTCGGTCGCGTTTGACCCTGAGTACCCACTTGCTCCCGACAACGTTGCGGCCCGGCGGCTTCGCGACAAGCGACCAGGTACCGGCGGCTCGGAGCGCCGCCAGTTCCTTGGCGATCGCGGCTTCCCACTTTGGCCAGTCAGGACGCCGCCTCGCCTGGGCGATCGTCTGTGGGTCCAAGCTGTCAAGCTCGCCTGTGAGCGCCGCCAACACATACTCAACCGCTCCTCCGCCAAGCCCATATTCCTCCCACTCGCCATCCTCCTCAGCCATCCTTGCGCTCTCCTTCCCACTCGCAAGCCTTCGATAATGCCCCTCAGCTTTCGCCGGCTGTGCAGCAATCCGGGCGCTCTGTCGCGGCGCCGCATTTTGAGGATCAGGGTCGGCGGGTGCTGGTTCCGAGAGCTCGGTGGGCTGATCGACAGGGGTAGCATCGTCGTCGGCTGCGGAGTGCTCGCCATCCTGAGGTGCGTGCTGAGTCTCGTCGTCGGTAGCTGACCGTTTGTCTCCGTCTGCAGGTACTATCTCCCCCGCAAACGGCACACCGACGGGGACAGCGGCGCTCTCCCCCGCAAATCGCACATCGCGCTCAACGCCAATCGCACCCGTACCCACCCGGTACACACGATGTGCGTGCGTCGACTCCTGATCGAAGCCCATCCAGCGACCTTCACGCGCCCTCGGTCCGAGCTTGCCGCCAGCGACGGAGTGGACCCACACCTTTTGTCCCCAGATTGGGACATTGGACATGTCAGGTGCGTTCCCCATCAGCGCCTCGTGCGGCGTAACGCCTGCTAACGCACTTGTCGGCGACCGGTTCTTCAGCCAGACGGCGTGGTTAAGCGCCTCCCCCCAAAGTGTTGGTGGCAGCGCAGCATCGTGCCGTAGGGCGCGGACCTTCTCAACCAGGCGACGGTTGAGCGACTCAGCAATGCCATTATGCTGCGGCGTGTCGTGCGTGGTGAGTCGTCTCTCCGTTCCCCGGGAGCGAAGCCAGGTGGTGAACTCGTCGCTGAGATATTCACCGCCTCGATCGCTCCGTAGGCGCTTGATGCGCGCGCCGTGCTGAGTGCCTGCCCAGGCTTCGAAGGCTTTGTAGGCCTCGAGTGCCTGGTCCTTGCTGCGAAGGAGGTACACCTTCGACCACCGCGTGTGGTCGTCAGTGAACGAGATGTAGTAGCGTCGGTGCCCGGGCGTTTCGACCGGTGAGGGGCCCCAGAGGTCAGTAGAAACCTCCTCGCCGAAAGCCGTAGCGCGCTGATCGCGCCTGGTTTTGCTGATGGGTTTCCGGGTCGCCTTCGCGTACTCGCAGGCTTCGCACTCGTCTAGGGCGCCGCCGCTCTCGTCAATTGCCACTCCGCTGATCCGCCCTTGCCTGACTGCATCGCGTATCGCCTGGATGGAGATGTGTCCAAGGCGTCGGTGTAGCTGCGTGATGCTGATGCTCTCCGATGCTGACGCCGCAACTTCGCCGACGTCAACACGGTATAGGCCATTGGACGACGCCAACACCTCTCCAACACACTGCCTCCTCGAGTCAAAAATACGGCACTTGTTCCCTCGGAACAGTGCCGAGTAGCCAGCTCGAGCAAGACGGGAAAGGGAAACAATGGTGAGGGACATGGAAGGTGCGTATAGGACGTCCCTCAGGAGGACACGCGTCGTTGAGCGACCGTTGGGCAGGTTAATATACATATCGCCCATTCCGAGAGCTTGGAAGGTGCGCTGGTCGGCGGCGGCGATATTTCGCGTGGGGATTGACTTGTAGTTTTGCAGGCGGTCGCGGTGTGGCGTCATGTGGCGCGAAGCCCCTGAGTCGTAGAGCTCGCCACTGGCAAGCGACGGGATGGTGACGTGTGCGTCGGCGGTCATGCTTGCATCGCGTTCACCCTCGTTGCTCTCGTCGTCGGAGTCCGAGGGGTACTGCAGCGCCGGCGGCTCCGAGTCGGTGTCTGGCTCGTCGCAGATTGCTGCCCACACGCCAATCTCAGAGCTAGAGTCGGCGGCTACAGCGGCTGTGGCGTTCGCGGCGTTCTTCTTGCCGTCGCCCTTGCCCTTCCCGTCCGACTTCTGCCCCTCAGGTCGTTGCCCCTCCTTGCCTCCGCCCGGCGCCCAGCATTCGGCCTTGTAGTGGCCAGACTTGCCACAGTTGTGGCACCGCCCTTTCCTCCCCTTCTTCTTCGTGCCCCTGTCCCAGGCGCTGAAGGCGGCGTCCTCAGACGCCTTCCGGCTCTCCTTCCCCTTGCCCCGAGCGAGTCGGCGGTCGTACTCGTCGCTGACCAGACGCATGACGGTCTCTGGCTCAAGGTCGTCGTCGTTCATTGACGAAGTCGTGGCCATGGCTG